GAATGGATATTGCCAAATGATAAGATAATTAGAGACTTCTTAAAATTAAATTAGAAGTATAAAAAGAATAAAAAGAATTAAAAAAAGTGAAAAAGGCTTTCTTTTTGTATCTATTTATATATATATATATATATATATATATATATATATATTATCTACCTAGGAGTTATGAGGTGATATTTTATAGAACCTTCAAAATATGTTGACTTTGTACAATATGTATTTTAACTTGCAAGGTAAGTTTTTTTATATAGATGCCACATAATTAGTTTATTTCACAAGCTACCAACACGTGTAGCATGTTATTGTATTACATGGATTTTTGCTTGAGAATACACTATACACCTAATTATAGAAGGTAAGTAGAAATGCAACAACAATCCTATGAAGTCTAATAGATTTGTAAATAAACTTTAAGCAAACCTTAATAATCCTAATCAAACTTTGATCAATCCAATATAATTTTTAAAGAAGTTATAAAAGAAACCCAAAGAAGTTTTAAACTAATCTCAAAGAAAATTAAGAAGAAATCTTTAATATATATATATATATATATATATATATAAACCTTTAAAAAAATAAAAATAATCTTAAATAAATATTAGAAATAGAAAATTTTAAAGAAAAAATAAAAATCCTACAGAAATACTAAAAATAAAAACCTTAAATCAAATCCGAATTAAATCTCAACTAAAACTCTAGTGAATCTTAATCAAAACTTAGATCAGATCCTAATTGAAATCCTAACTAAACCTTAATCAAATCTTAGGTCATATCTTAATAAAATCCTAATGAATCTTAAATCCTATATAAATTCTAAACCAAATCTTAAGTAAATACTTAAAAAAATCCTAATTAAACTCTAAACTTTAAATAAATTCTTACCAAATCCTATAATAGATTGAAACTTCAACAACTAATGATTAAACTTTTATATCAATTTTAAATTTATATACTTCTTAAAATTGTAGTTTAAAATAATTATAAGAAAGATGAAATTGATTGCACTTACCAATGGAGAGAAATATAAGATAATCCAATTGGGTATCAAACAACCTTCTACTCCAACCTAATGCTAAACTTCTAGATTTAGTATCTCCTTCTTAAATTATTAAATTGCTCTCAAATTTTACTTAAGTATTGAAAATTAAGTCTAATATCTATATAAAAAAATTTCATTTCAATCCAATTGATAGATTGCTAAAGATCTTAAAAACACTCATTGGCCTTTAAACTCCAATTTTTGAGACTCCAACCTAAAAAAATCCTTATATACTTCAATCTAATTATTCAATTGATCTCAAAATTTGCATAAACATTGATAACTAGTAAACCAATATATTATCCAAATTTTACTTATATACATATTACAAAACTTAAAAAATCCTTAAATTTGTAAATATATTTTTATTTTTTAAATCTTCGTGCTACTAAGAACATCAATAATTTAAAAAATCCTTCAAAATCTCAATATTAATGCAAATGAAATGAAACCAATGTCTTAAAATCTTTTCTTTAGTCTCTTCTCAAATTCCACTCTTTGATCTATCAAAAAATCCTAGAATTGCTATATGGATGCAATTTTGTATTTTAAAGTCTGATTTTGATCTTGGTTGAGAATTGGCCCTTTTCAAGTATCAATTTTTAATAATTTTAAGTAAGTTTTGCTTTAACTTATTTTTAATTATTTTTTAAATATATTTATATTAGATTTTTATTTAATTTACTATAATTTGGCTTATTTATGCCTCTACAAAGTAAATAAAAGTCCCTTTTATAAAAGACAACATTAAGACTAAATCTTTTATTATCTTTTTTATCATTTATTTTTATTTTTTTACTATATCTTTTTACTAAGTTCTTTTATAGTAACTTCCATATTTTTATTTTTTACCATACAATCATTTTTAGATATGACAATATGATTAATTTTTTGACAAAGTTTCTAACCTATCAATCAGTTATAAATACATATAAAATCAAAGTAATGTCTATGAAGCTTCTAAAAAGATATTATGAAATTAATCTACTTTAATATACTTCTACCTATTCATATTATATAAATAAGAATTCAAGTAAATATATGTCCATAATAGAAGCTTGTAGGAATATGTCATTATCTTGTTTTAATTTTGTGATTACATATTGATCAAGAAAGTGACAAGGACTATCAAATACTTTGTCAAGAAGATCATATCTTACTCCAAAAATTGGAGAAGCAACATTTAATAAATAATATATCATTCTCTTAAAACCAAAATAATTTTATCTTTATGCTATTTCTATGGTTATACTTGTTGATTTAAGTTTTTTTGAACAAATTTGTGTAATGTTAGCTAAGGACTCATTAGTTTGTAATATCAAGCAATACCTTGACAACAATAAATTCAAGTTTTTAAAAGATCTTTTGTATTTTGAAGATCGTTTATATATTCTAGAAGGACCAATGCGACTTTGTATTCTTCAATCTTGTCATGATTTTTCAGCTACATGACATTGTGGATTTAACAAAATATTGGAGCTTGTTTCTTGAGATTTTTGGTGGCCTCAAATGTGGAAGAAGGTGAAGAACTTTGTCATCTTTTGTGACATCTATTCAAGATTCAAGAATTCTCGACATTGTCCTTATAGACTTCTATAGCTACTACCATTTCCAAAGTGACAATGGTCTTCAATATCAATGAATTTCATCACTGATCTGCCTCCATCAACTACATTTGATGCTACTTATATTGTTGTAGATTGACTTATAAAAATGGTACATTTTTTCTTATGCAAAAAGATAATTTTTAGAGAAGAAATAAAAGACTCTTTTTTAATAATATATATTGATATCATAGCCTACCCAATTATATTATTTCTCATCAATAATCTCAATTTATATCAAAGTTATGGAAATCCTTTTTTAGATATTCAAAGTGAATATCAAACTTTTTTTTGCCTTTTGCCTTCAAACAGATGATCATACAAAATGAGCCAATTAAGTTTTCGAGCAATATTAGTGATATACCATTAACTATTACCAAGATGATTGGATCTCATATTTATCTTTAGCAAAGTTTACTTATAATAATATTGTTTATGCTTCAATTCAATAAACACTATTTTATTCCAATTATAGTTATTATTCAAAGCTTGATTTGCTAAATACATCAAAGTATGAAAATCCAATAGTTAAAGATCTTAAAAAACAATTGTCACATCTCTACATAACTTTGAAGCTCCATTTACAAACAAATTAAGATTCTTACAAAGCATCTCTAGACAAATTTTAAAAAGAATCCCTTCTTTTTAAGTTAGAAATAAAGTATGGTATCTTTTATAAAATATCAAGACCAATTGGCCTTCCAATAAGTTGAACTACCAAAGATTATGATCATTTTGTATTCAAAAGAAAATCAATCTAGTGGCTTATTGATTGGAACTACATACATCTATAAAGGTACATCATGTCTTTTATCTTTTTCTCTTAGAGGCTTATTCAAAATGAACTATTCAAAGAAGAATACAACCATCTGTGCCTTGCATTAAAATAGATAATCGTATGGAATATAAAGTAGAAAAGATTTTTGATTTTTGATTAAAAAGAGGCAAGTTGGAGTATTTTCTTCATTGGTGCTACTACAATATTAATAAGTATACCTGGAAATGAGCAAAAAATATAATTAATGAGCGGCAAAAAACACAATAATTTCATTAATACTATCTTCAAAAATCTAAATCTATTTTAAGATGACTTTTCTATGAAGCTACTACTAAGATGTGGTATATAAAGAAAGAAGTAGATATGAAATTGATGCTACTTGTGGAATTTAGAATTTAGAAGGAGATGTGTTGTTACATACATCCAACAAGAAGATTCTATAAATATTCTATAAATATTCTATTAGGCTCTAAAAGGTTCCAAAAGATTCTTAGAAGATTTCTAAAAGGTTTTAGAAAGTTTTTTTTTTAAATATTCTAATAGGTTTTAGAAAGTTCTAAAAAATTCTAGAAAAATAAATGAAGTTGTCCAAGAAGCTTCTTAAGATTGCTTCAACTTCAAGCAACATAAAACTTCTTGAAAAGCTTCTTAATACCTAATATATATTGGAGTTGAGATTGAGGAGATCCTTTGTCTTAACAATACATCTCTTGGAACTTTAGCTTACTTTTCTTCATGTTGATCTTGTACTCATTTGATTTAATTAAGTTCTTGTTAGTTTTCTTGTTGAAACTCTTCCATTCAACTTCTTGTTTGATCTCTTATATAGTATATCCATGACAATGTGCACATTGTCTTGAATGTAGTGTACTATGGTGCCATATATTTAGATTATAATGTCAGAAATTAATTCTACTGATTTTTATATTTTAATTCATAAATTAATGGCCATCCAATCTTCATATATAGCTTTTTTATTCTTTTAAATAAATAATAAATAATATTCATTCAATGTTGATAAAAACGAAATCATTATCATGCTTTGTGTTGTAAAAAGCTTTTCTTGTGGTACATTTCTCTATCCTTTTTATGGTTTTAGTAATTCTATTTGGTGTAGCCATTTTCATTGTTTTATTTTTAATTGAATTTATTTTTTTGTGTGTATGCTCGTATGTAGATGTTACATCCATATGTGGATGTATTAATAATAAATCAGTGGATATTTGATGAATGATTCATCAAATTATTCATGCTGAAGTTAAATGCTGGTTGTTGTTTTCACTAAATAAACATTCTCTTGAAGAACACTGGAGAAGTTTTCTTAAATAAAAGTTAAAATTAAAATTGTTATACATCATTGTCTTATTTGTCAATCTTCATGATATTTATGAATGTATCTATTTATGCACTTATTGGGTCTGTATTATATTTTTTTCATAATTTGCTAACTTATTTGTTAACCTGTGCACAAAAGTAAATTAAATTGTGTATGCAAGTATATAGCATTTTCGTTCAAAAGGACCTGAATGTAGTACCATGCCCTGAAATTTTAGTGGTAAATTTTTTAGTTGTAAGCTTGATTGAAATACAACGTTTATATTATCATTTTATAATAAAACATATTACAGACATTGGACAAACTGTTCGTTTGTGGTCCCGCGAATATTACAACTTCTCACATTCTGGACATCTTCGTGAGCTCTCGTTGAGAATTTGAGTCTTTCTAACTTGAGCATTTATCAATAGAGCTAGTATGTTGAGAATTTGAGAGTCTTTCTAACTTGAGCATTTATCAATAGAGCTAGTATGTCGTCCAGACCATCTAGGGAAAATCTTTGAAGTTTCTTACCAATTCATTATACCTCTTGGTTCGTGCCCAATTTCTGATGTCAGGCATCGGTATCCGCTCTTACAAAGGAAATACTGATTTGAACATAACCCTCACTAACCACAAAACTGAAGTGTGATGGAAGTTACTACTTTTGTATTTTGACGCAGGCTACTGCAAATTCCTGCGGCTCTGACATGCTCAACCAGGGACACGACCTTTTAGGTGTGACCGAGGTTTAAATGTACAAGTTTTTAACTTCACGAGCAGGTAAACCCTTTTTACGATTCACATACTGCAATAAGCACTTCTCACTCGGCCGCCATATCAGTTAAATCATTTTAAATATTACCCACCCACGTTTCACGTTCATAGTCTAAACGGCGTTGAAACGTCGAAACATCTTGACGATGTTAGTTGTGGTTCCTGCGAACAAGGACAAAAAAGAACTGCACCGTCAGAATCCCTCCTAAACTGTAAGACAACCGGAACGTATAGCTGAGTGACTACACGAGCGTGTGAGATGCCATAGTGAATCACTAACCGGCGTGTCACCGCCTTCGTAGCTGCCACCTTTTAGAAGCATGTCAATGAGTGATGTGACCAACTGGTTTTCAGCCATATGGATTGCTGAACGCATAGCATTTAGAAGACTTCCATAAGTGGTGCCATAACCACGTTCAATTGCCTGGATGAAGCAGTAGGTCATCTCTCCTGTTGAGGTCGACCTCCCAAGATTCTCCTGCAAGAGAGGCGTTACAACCATAAAAACAAGGGATATAAAAAATTCCGGAACGTGAAAGTGATCAGTGGACTGCAGTACAATAACACAGTGGGCGCTAAAACAATCACCAGACCTCTCGATGCATTCGGAATTGTAGTGAAAGAACAGCTCCTAAAATCTAAACAGGACAAACCATACTCCTTTACGGAGTAATCATGCTCTCCTCTTTCCAGCTATTCATACTGAAGTACTTCAAGCGATTACACAGCTGCAACGATCAAGGTGCTTACCATAGTATCAAAGACCGTTTGATGGTCATCACAACCACTAAACGAGTACACGTTTCCCCCTGCTGTCCCCTTCCATGTACCTGTAGCCGGACGATGGTCTTCCCATACGAATGCTTCATGTCTGTGGCAACATGACACTCATTTTAATGAATCCCATCTCTCCGATAAAGCAGATCGTAAGAACATATAGTTCATGTAAAACTATATAAAAATATTCCCTCCTGGTATCTAACCTTCTGATTGGTCCCACACACCTCACGGCCACAAAATACGCTTCCGAAGTGGTATAAGGATGCCACTGTTCTCACACATGAACACAAAGGAAAAAAGAATTGTGCTGCATGGTTTTCTCGTAGTGCGCAGGATAGCCAAGTTTTCAAGCTTATCTTCCGAGCACAGGTAGGAAATTAGATCAAGAGTACAATGCTCACCCGCTATATCGATAGAGAAATGGCAGATCTAAAACAGTGCCGCTGTGGCAGGCATCCACTATGGCGTGAAGATCAACTCCAGTAGGCAGGGGCCTGACGATTGTGGTATTGATATCATCGTCAACGATCTGGCCTGCAGTCATGAAGTCAACAGGTATCAAAGTCTCGTCGAAACCGTCGAGTTCTTCTCCTATGTAGTTGGGCTGTTGAGAGCCATGGCCTGAGAAATGAAATACGAGCGAATCTCCAGCTTGGCAGCCTTGAACTAACCATTCCAGGGCCTGCATGATGTTATATTTCGTAGGCTGTCGGCGTGGGTCCACTTGATCCTCTGCAAAAGTGTACGTCAGCTTCTACGGCTGCTTTAGAAGAACATCTGTCCAACTTTCATTAAGTGCGTCATTTATCTGCACTATGAAGCGATTGAAACCTCATCTTTAAACTAACAAACTACAACCAACGCGAAGCAGATTGAATGCAATTGTCACAGTGATAACAGACACGTCATGGGTGAGAGTGGGACACAGGTGTCCCCTTTTCAAATCTAAAACGAGCAATTTCGAACTCTACATGTTTACCAAAAGAATCAACCATACAATCTAATACCATATAATGAACTGAAGGAAATGAACCAGAAAGATTTTATACCTGTTAGCACAAGAATAGCAGACTCTGGGAAATGAAACTTCGACATCAGCAAGTAACTCATGCACTTTGCATCATTTAAACACCCCTTGAGCTCAATTGATGTTCCCCCGTACGAAATTCCACAGATAACCGCTCTTTTAGATCCTTGTGCGTTGAATGATTTTGGGCAATACTGCAAAGGATTTGGAGACGAATTATGGCGATAAAGCTGTACACCTTGTGTTGGTAGGGGATTAACGGGCCTTGCGGATCCAGGATTCAGTGCTGGCCGCCTCGCGTTCGGAGAAGGTACGCTTTCCGTCGGATGTTTTAGACTAGGTTCCTCCTCTGAATACTTGCTCTGCGAATATTGATATAGGCTTGGGTCCTTGATTAGCTTCGGCTCTGAGACTACAATCGGTGGGAGGTTGAGCATGCTCAGATCAGGCGTATTTCCTGCTTTGAGTGACATCTGATGCTGAAGATGAGGATGAAGATGAGGCTGAAGATGAGGCTGTTCGGGTACTTGCGTACGCGACATGGACACAGAGCGAAGCTGAGCCAAGGGGTGCTGGTTTGGAATGGGATCATGATGACAGAGAACAGAGTGTTGTTGATGATTTGGAGGTGGAAGTCTAATAGCGCCAGACAGAGACTGGTGAGGATGTGAACCAGGACTGCCTTCACCCTCCCAATATGGCAACACATGACGCGGAGAATAGGTGTCAGGTTTCGATGGAATCGAAGGAGCTTCTACAGGCGTCACCTGTATTACTGCCAAGCAGTGCTCGCAGATGATAGACCTTGTGCCTGGAGACAAGGTCACTAATGTCTCCACTTGACAACTACTGCACTTAATTCTCCGCTGCCCTCCCATGTTGACTAGCAGTACTTCCACGAACTCTCAAATTGTATGCAGCAATGAAATTACACATGTGAATTTCAGTACTTCCTCTGTTTGCCACTGAACATCCAACGCAAATGCAGATCACCTCAACCGGCCGTAGACAGCTATGCCGCGAATCCAAGAGATGTCTGTGACAAAATCAACAACCCATCACACAACCTGCAAAGATGACAATGCCAGAGGTATCTTTGTGGAGGTTACACAGAAGCATGCAACACCGCCCCCACAATTGCGCTGGAGAATGCATCACCAATCCGACACAAACATTTACTAGGACGACACAGGACTTGAAATTCCAGCTTAAGGACAATAACAAAAAAAAAAATTGTCCCTATCAAGCTGAAATCTTTGACACCAACTATCATCTCAATCAAACATTGATAATGCAATTCAAAACAAAAGTGTTCCATAATGTAAATAAACAGGACGCTACATAAATAAGATCAATACTACTGGAATATCTTTGAGGCAGAATGACCGACTTAAAAACAAAATCGTCTCGACCTTTTCCAGCAAGGATCAAGCAGGAAGATCAAACAGAAGTGACTCACGAGCATCATCTCATTGACCTTGTCAACGAAGAAGGATACAGATAATACCAACACGTGTGAAAACAACATCCCTGACCAATGTGAATTTTGTTCTCGGTACGAGGAATGTCCGATTCCAATGCCTATAGAAAAATCTTGAAATCGCTAGATGGATCAAACTGCAAATTATCATGCGCGGAATTTAAAGCGTCTACCGGCGCAGAATTTGAAGGCAACCGTGTTTCATAGTTAGACTTGTGAAAGTAAGCTTGACGTCGACCAAGACGCAGAGACCGCTGTCCATCATTCTTGATTACGCCACAATCACCTCACACTACTAGAACAGACTCCCTAGAATCCAATAATATCCAACTAAACCTAAGGCAAAAAACCTGGTAAGAGACATAACTGCAACACCGAAGCGCTAACAACTGATCAAAATACTTAAAAGGAAGAATGAGTAATCTTTACATCAACATCCTAAGCAATTGCAATTGTCAGCTTATATCCTCGACCTACGGTCTGATTTCCATGGTTTTCAGCTAGAAGCTTTGCCAGCATGAACGAGAATCACTGTCAACTCGACTCAACTTCACTCCCAGAGGCAAATAGGCCACACCTGGAAACACACAGAACGACCAATCGGCTTGCTCACGTACTACACCGTAGCTGCCCTTCGCTGCACCATACAGAAACAGAGACAAGCCACGCAAGATGCATCAAACACCACCAAAAATCATCACAAATCGCCACGAGACGGACGCTATCTAATGAGCCAATCCGCCATGCCCGAAATATTCCCTCCACCTCCACTCATTAAGAAAATGAAAAGTGGAAACTACGACGATCCGCTCCAACAAGTCGAACACTACTCTCTCCAGATTGTAACCGAAATTCAAAGCAGGTAGACGAGGCACACACACACACCCAGCTATTTGTGCAGAGACATCGCCGATTCATCGAACGAACGCACCGAATCTGAAGTAGAAAAAAACAGTGGCGATGCTGCCGGACCCGGTCTCTTTTGCATTGCAACAGAGGCACAGTGGTCCCTACCACCGCGCGAGACCTGACCGGAGCCTCTGTGATCCGAGTGCACGATTCCCCACTCCACCCCCCTGCCTGCTACCACTCAGAAGCAGCCCGTTTTACCGCCAGATGGATATACACATACACTCTCTCCCAGCTTCTCAATTATTTTTTCAAAAATCTAATAAAAACTCAATTTGATGTGGTTAAAACCATGGCATTTGTACTAGTGTAAAGCCCTCCAACAACGGAAAGTTTTTGTATCGAAAAGTTAAAGCTTAGTATTTTCTATGTTATTATAACATAAAAGATGAGAATAATAATAATAATAATAAGAGTTGGAAGGAACGAAATGATGGAAAGCAATGTTAAATTGGAGTGTAACAGGGAGAGGGCTAGAGGGTATATGTATATCTAATCCCAGTTCTGAGAATAGAACCAATTGCACAAGAAAGAGCCCTTTCTATGGGATAGGCAGGAAGTGGGAGAAAGAGGGGACGGACGGGGGCTTTTACTTTTTCGGGCAGTGAGTGTGGTGGTCTTCCGTCCGAGACCGGGTCGACTTTTTCGTCGAAGGTCGTCGGCTTTTGAAAGGCACCGGTCATCCCGTCCGACCTTTTTTGCGGCGTCGCCGGCAAGGGACCTCCCCTCCCCCTCCCAGCTTGCTTTTGCCCACAGGAAGGAGAGAGACCGTGAGAGCCTTGTCAACGCCTCAACGGACCATCGATCGATCGCCCATGCTTGCGGGCTAGCTACCCCCCCACCTCCTGCCCCTTCCCTTCCCTTCCGGGTATTGTGACGACGGGCTTTCCATGCGTGCTTTCCGACGTTCTGGCGTTTTTTCGCGGGGAGTTGCGGGTGAAGGCGCGGCGTGGAGGATGTTTGGTTGGTCGGTCCGGAGAAGTTAAGAATGTGGATGGCGAGGGGTTGGAGTGCAGATTGGACGAGGTATAGCGTGTGAGAGGGTTTGCGGGGATAGATTGTACTGGACTGGGGTTGATCTGACCGATTTTCTAGCTGAGGAGCAATCATCGCGGGTCGTTGATACTTTTGTCCGTTGCGGCACACGAGGTTACGAGGTTTTGAGGTTTGTATGAGGCATGTGAGGTTTGGTTCGATGTCTCGGAGTTTTCGGCGGGCATTCAGCTGTGGTGAAAAGAGGACCGGAGGCTTGTTGGGAGGGCTTAGAGCTGTTGAGGCGATTTGGCTATGAGAGAGGCGGATTGAGGTGGCAATAACGCGGGAATGGCTGTGCAAATTTAGGGTCAGAGAGGTGTGAGTCAGGAGTTTAAGGTTTTGATGTTTGGCATTTGAGCTGGAAGCATACGTTTTCTCGTGGTTTGTGTGTGGAGCCGGTTGAAGTTGTTGGTATCGCGTGGTGGTGGTGGTGGTGGAAGGGAATACATGGAAGTTACAGGGGGACGTTCATTTACAGGATTAGCGTAGAGGAAGAGCCTATGGAGGATGAAGATTTGATTTTCAGATTCTAGAATAGGAAAATAGCAACTTTTAGGGAGTAGAAGCGATTGCAGATGTTGGTGGACACAGCGGCAGTCTTCTATTGATTTGCCATGCTGCCGAAGAGTAGAGGAAAAAATGTAATTAGAGGGAAGAGAGGAGCTTGCTGGAGAGAATTGAAAACAGGGTGGGGTGACTGTAGCAGAAGGAGCGTTAGCAGCATGCAGTCAGGACGGTGCAGGAAGCAGTAGGGAAGGATGCACCGTTACCCTGCTGCTGCCGGGGGCAGCAGCAGTGGTGGTCCTGGTGGAGGTGGCCCTCCTCCTGCTCGCTCCTCTGATCCTTCCTTTCAGAATTCATCTAACTTCACTTTCGCTTCTCGGTTAGTTCCTTCTGCTTGTCGCTTCTCCCTTGTTTCATGCTTATCTATATTCTATCCACATCCTGCTTTTCCTTTAGTATCTCCTAAACTCATCTGCCAAACGTTCATTCTAGTTTGGGGTGTGTGTAAATGTAGACATGCGAATAATCTGTATTGTATTTTGTCATTCTCTGAGAGCGAGCAGCAGCGTTTCAATATGACTGTCCTTATGCTCTCTTCGCTTCTAAACTAAATCAATAGTAAGTTTAGCAATAGATGCCGCGGCATTTAAATCATCATTCGTTAGTACCGGTTTTTCTATGCAACCCCTCAGTAGTTTAGCAGGTATTCATGAGAATTTTCTGAACCCTAATCAGATTACTGTTTTCGGTATCGTCTTGGTTTTGTTGCCCTCTTCTCTGGTTATGTTCTGAGTAACGTCTTGTAATTTCTATCCTTAGGTTACATTTGTCATCCTTTATGTTGCTCTATAGGTTCTTGCCACATTGATCTTTAGCTATGGAATCATCGTTCGCGCTTTATTCGTAATGTTTCGGAACTCTGTTTAGAATGCTATTACCCGTGACTAGGTTTTGAAGAAGCTTATTTTATTTTCTCAGCTATCCTCACTGCTATTTATCGTTGTTTTGTTCATGCTAGCAGGGCATATAATCATAGCATTTAGTGCTAATCTTACCAGTGCATTAGTTCTTTCAGAATCCCGTCTTCTGATCCCACGGAAATGGTTGTTTTTTCTTTGTTTATCTTTTATTGTACTTCGGGTTGATCTTCAAGTTTCTCGCCGCTTATTGGTAGAGGTTCTCTGTGTGTTGAGTCTGATTATCTGCTCCCTAACCTCTCGTGATCATCTGAGGTTAGCATCTTCAAACAGGCTATTTAAGAAATCTTGTAATTTACACCTATTTAAAACTTCTATGCAATATTTAGGGTTTGTCACATTTAGTGAAAATCGTTTTCAATATTTGTCTGTCACCTCCATTTTTTTCCTCTGCCTTCATTTCCTTCTCGCCTCGTCTGTGTCTCGGGCTATTTAGATGTACTCAGAACGCTGATCCAGTACGCGAAGCCCTAGTTCAGAATGGCTACCCGGTGAAACAAAACTTCTAGAGTTATACCGAGGGAATAATCGTTCTGTATTGTAACATATCTCGTATTTTATCGTAAGAGATGTTCATGTTGTCCTTTCCATCTTAGCCAGGCGGCCACTGTGAACCGTTGCCAGGTTCTCGTAGGAATACCGAAGCATTGAAAGGAACAGTGTCACACGCCTTAGATGTGATCGAAGTTGGACACCACTATGATTTTATGAAAAAACCGCTTTACGTTTGGAATGCGTAGTGGAAAGTCCTTTTAAAGCGCGCTTAGTATATATAAAACTGTTAAATGCAATATGTCAAATTTCACCGCTGTCTAGATTTGGTGATTCCAAGAATTAGCGAATATATCTGCAATACGTGCAATCTGGAAGTAATGAGACGATTAAGACGGTATTGACCCCGTTTCGTACCAGGGTTTTTCGTTAACAGTATTCTCCAAGTCTTCTAGTCTAGGTCTAAAATGTAGGTATGCTGAAACAAGTGGTGTTGGACTTTTAACATGGTTAGTTGGGTTGGTCATTTGTCTCTGGCAAACAGCTTCCGAGGATGACATGCTTGAGCGTTTCTTAGAGCGGGAAATCCTTTTTCAAGCATACAGCCTTGATGGTTTATACTCTAATAGCATAAATTATTTACTACTTGTTTATTGTTATGAAAATCCATTTCACGTTTGCAGGCGTGCAGTACCACTTCAGCCCTACAAATTGCGTTGCGAAAGGGAGCCCCTAAGTGCTCGGTGAGTAAATCAACCTTTGAAATTTGGATCCAGTGTTTATTTTTTGAACTGGAGCAATGGTTTCCATCATTATTAGCCTTACAGGTTCTTGTCCTGCAATGCGTTAAGTGTTCCTGCTAGATTATCTGATTGTGACTGGATTATCATTGTATTGAATACGTGCCTTTTATTTGCAGACTGGGGCCACCAGATTTTTACCCTCCAACACCTAATTGTGCCGAGGAGATTCTGAACAGGGACACTACTGTAAATGGTTATAAAGAGCTTATTGCCGGCGTTGAGGTGAGTTACTTCGACAAACACTTATCTAATAATCCGATTGTTCAACATTAGAACATGTACAGGAACTTTTAAATTGCGTCAGTCTATGAGATCACGTACTTTTGTTGACGGGCATGGGGCATTTGGTCCTCACCGGCATGGAAGATTGTATTTATGAATTCTTTGGGCGCGCTGGTAAATTTCTTGTTTTTCTGAACACATCGATGTTCTCTTGTGATCTTGTGTAGGAAAATAGAGAATCCTCGCTGAGTTTAACTGATAGTGATGCCTTATGGGCCAAGCCTAATGTGAATCGTTATAAAGAGGTACGAATTATTATTATTATTATTATTATTATTATTCTTGTTTTATATTCACTTTTTGCTAAGCAATACAAGTGACAAGGCTAATGAATTATTTGGAGCTTATATCTGTTTGGAGGCTTACAATGAGCGGGTTATGGCTGTTAATGTTAGCAGTTGAACACTTCCGCATAGGTTTCAGTTTTTCTACTTACAAGAGGTTTTATTGTTCATGGGAATGTTCATTTCAATACTAAGCTTGTACAGTGTAAGACTATTTGGCGTTCTGTGCATATTTTTTTAGTACCTATTCTTAGTCAGTGGTATGTCTTTTTCAGTCTATTCGAAAGCGGTTAAGGGAGCTCAGTATTGCACTAATTCGGAAACGTAAGGTGAGCCTTTTTAGTGTCACCAGCGTATCAATGATTTTATCGCTATATATCCCTTTCTGTGCTTCTAAACTTGGTTACTTGTAACGGCTTAGTATGCAAGGGTATCACGAGTCGTATATTGTGCGCATGAGCATGAGTAAGGTTGTAGGCGTGTGTTTTGCACATGCTGTTGCCTGTCTACACCACTTGACGTCGAGTTGGGGTTTGTTATGGCAGTGTATTTTTTCGAGTTGACTAGCATCCTTCCCTCAACTGTTCAAACAAGACAAAGATCATAACGTTTTGTACACTAATTTATATTTGATGTCTGCAGGCTGGTCAAGTTTATGGTGTTCCACTTTCTGGCAATTTGTTAGCAAAATCTGGGGTTTTTCCAGAGCATCGCACCTGCGGAGAAGACTTCAGAAAGAAATGGATTGAGGTAAGTCTATTTTTGTTGGGATGCTGTCTCTATATTCGTTGCCTTGTTTTAACTCGTACTCTTGAAGAAATACATAGCTTGCAGTGAAGCTGTATCAATGAGCGGGTGTAGCTTTATTTTGGAAGTAGAATTCTACATTTTAGACGAGTGGTTGTTTTGATGTAGATTTAGAAGAATAATTATATTGTACGAACTTCTTAGAAAGTCAAATCTTTGGGGAATGGAATTTAGTTGGGCAATGTTGTTGGAGTCTGTTTAACGAATTGGATCATTTACCTGTTCTGTAAAATTGACTACAGGACCTGTCACAGAGGAAGAGACTTCGAGCTCTGGCCGAACATGTCCCGCATGGTTATCAAAGACGCACCATCTTTGAGGCACTTATTAAGCATGACGTTCCTCTACTTCGAGCTACTTGGTTCATCAAAATCATTTACCTTAACCAGGTCAGTCCCTTTTTCCCTTGTGTAAGTTCCATCTGAGCTACGTGGTTACCTCTTTGACCATCTATCAACCTGATTTCTTCTGGGATGACAACTTCATTAGCTCTATTTTCTAATTGAAGTTGCCCATTTTCCTCGTCACTATGTTTTCTGCTGATATGGAAATTATCCGGTCCTCTGTCAGATCTTTGTATGCTTTTCCGGCTCTAGCTTAAAATATAGCTTAGTTTTAAAACACCTTTTATACAGATGCTCATGACGAAACTATGCTTTATTTGAGGCATTTTCAGGTCAAACCCATGTCCATTGGAATGTCGGCAGGAGGTCCTGACAAATCACAGTCAAAGCGAGTGGAACTGTGGACCAAGAATGTGTTGGAGTATACTCAGTCGTTGCTGGACGACCTATGCCAGACCGGAGGTGCTTCAGGATCACACTCTCAGATCCTGTCTGTAAGAGGCGACTCCGTTGAGAACGAGCCTGATTTGCTTGCGAAATGGCGGTATATTGTGGGCTTGGCACAGTGGCATTACACTGAAGGGCTTCTTAATCGGACTCAAGTTGTTGACTGGGCTTTGAAGCAACTTCAGGTAGAGCTGAGCGCCCTAAGTATTAGTTTTTGTAAATGTCCGTTTCGTTGTGAAATGGAATTGGTTCATTATGTTCTTGTACCTTGTAACATGAGATGAATATTTGAGATGTTACAAATAATAGTTTTAGAGTAGTTGAAATGTAATTTGTGTCAGATGGTTTACTCATGGATACCATCGCTTAAATTTTTTACAGGAAAAGGAGAGTGTGGAGGCTCTAGAGCTTCTTCTACCGATATTGCTTGAACTCGTCGACGGCATATCTATGTCTCAAACACACTCACGGATGCTTGTTGAATTATGTCTTCAATGGCTCCGTAAGCTCTATCCGTTAGGGCACGTGCCTAGCATTGGTGATAATTCACGAAACAATCGGGTAGCCGACACATTAGTGAAGCTGCTGCAATATCTCGTTCTTGTCATTCCTGACACCTTCGTTGCATTGGATTGTTTTCCTTTGCCCCAGTGTGTTAGCTTGGGTGGCAGTGAAAGCTCAGCCATTGAAAGTTCATCCAACGATCTTGGCAGGGTGAACTCTGTTGTCGAAGATCGGTCTATCATGTATGCAAAGGGAAAGAGAAAGACATATTCTGAGGTTGGGGTTGTCGAATCAGTGGATCTTATTCAGAAACGTACTGCGTCTTTAGCAAGTGCAGTGAGTCCTACTCTGTTGCGGAACAATGAAGGGAAAATTGTTCAAGCTCTGGACAAAGCTTTGGAGAAAGGAGACATTGCAGGTGCCTACCGAAGTGTCTACGATGACGAATTCTGCAGTAGTGATAATTTACCAGCTGATTGGCGAGCAGATGTCACCTCTCGCACTGCTTTCAATCTTTCTGGCCCAGTTAATCCATCAGAGCTGTATCCAGTACGATTCTTGTGCGAGTGGGCTGTTTGTGATTTTCGAGACTGCCGAGGCATTGTAAGCAAAACGATACGGAAACAAAGTGCATGCAGGGACATGTCACGTGTGTATGTGGCCGTCTCAGTCTTACGGATGAGGTTAGCAGAAATGGACTCGAAGATTGGTCCTCACTCTCCAGACACCAGGTTGCCAGAACATTTCGACAGCTGCGATCCTTTGTCTCGTGGTGGTTTGCCAGTACATGTTCGGAACAGAAAGAGCAAGAAAGGGCAAGCTGTACATGCACCAATGGACCACTCTGTTGAATTCAGCAGTGGCAACTTTTCGGCGCTGCATAATCATTCTCATAACTCGATAGCAATACATGACTTGATATATGCTTGGTTGGATCAACATGAACTTTGGCAAGGAGATAGTTCAGATCGGCTACCCTTGCTTCTTTCTGAACTCGTTAGAGAGGGTTTGTTTAGTCCAGAAGCTTACGTTAGGCAGCTGCTCTGCAATGGAGTTCTGGACAGGCAGTCTACTGCTACAGAGGTAGCTCGAGCATCACGACACAGACATGTATTGCAGCAGTTACCATTCCCAGGAGGGTTGATTGGTGATGCTGTCAGTAATATCGACTCCAGGCAGTCTGTGGCCTTCCGAATGTATCGAATCGAGCGCCGGCTAGCACTAGATGGTCTGGGGATTCGACGGCATGAACAACATATCCAGGGAACAGGAGCTACCGGATCTATTGTTCGAAGAGAGGGTTCGAAAGGTTCTGAATCTAGGCCCTCTGTGCACGAGTTTCGAGATAGGAAGAAACGTCAGAAGCGAAATTTTATGATTGCAGAACTTAAACAGCTCATCGCAATCAATCTTCAATTGCCTGAGTATTCTTTTAGAATGGTTGCAAAGCAACTAGAAATGAAGGTAGGGGTTGGATCAAGGGGCTCCAAAAGGTTTTCGTACAACAATATGGGAACTAGGGATGCTACTCCAGGTTGTGAGGAATGTAGCCGGGCAAAACGACAAAAAACAGCAGAAGGAAAAGAGTGGATTGCCACTGGGTCTATGACTCCCTTAGAAGATGAGGATGAAAATTGGTGGTTCAAGAAAGGGCCACAAAAGGTTGTTGAAAATCCCATTAAATTGGAACCTCCTGTGAAAGTTGCTCCCAAACAAACCACCAGAGGACGGCCAAAGCCTGTCCGCAAAACTCAAAGTCTTGCTCAAATGGCTACGAATCGGCTTGATAGCAATCTGGGAGCATCAACCACACATGTGTTGGAACCCAAAATCAGCTGCCCAATACATCACTCAAGTCTGGAGGGTGGAACTGCAGCTCAATTGAAAACTAGTCATTATTCGAAAATGACAGGTATTCTTTCCATCGTATCTCACCAATCACCATATAGGGCTTGTTTCTGAATGTGCAGTGTAACGTTATGCACTTCCTTAAAAACACTGAGGTTGTGCTTAAGTTCCTTGGCTTTTACGGTCCCTAGGTTGGTCTCCTCATCTTACAGCTTGCTGGTGTGAAACGTACTGCTTGTTTTATTCTTATGCAGGTGATTTGCGTGCTATTGGAGAGGCTATGAAGCGTCTCAGAGTAGTAGAGAATCAGATGATTGTAAGCTGGCTGGATAGCCAACTGCGAAGCATTTTGACAAATCAAGGGATCACATCTCCATCTTTGCAAGGAGACCGCAGATTGGCAAATGGCGGAGTCTCTAACACTGATTCTGCAGACCCAGGAACATGGAGGCTAGGAGAAGAACAATTTTCGATTATTGTGTACATTATGGATGTTGGTAACGACCTCCACACGCTGATGCAGCTTTTGCTTTGGCTTCTGCCTATTTCTGGGACTATTTCGTCCCCGTCTGTCATCCATGTAAACCACGGAATCCCTGCTTATGTTGGAAGCAGAGATGGCTCCTCTTGTGCTGTGGGAGAAACAGCCTTATTATCGTGTCTTCAAAGGTATACTCATCTCATCTTGCCCCATGTTACATATTATTATGATTTGAATTTGTTTATGCTAACGGTGTGTCTGCACTGTTGTGATTCAATGTTTTAGGAAGTGCGTAGACTGTTACATGGTGGCTTGGGGATCTTCTAAAGTCGAGGCTTTGATTGTTAAAATTAGGTATGAAGGTGTTCTGGCGTCCATGGATATGCTTCCACAAGCTTTGTCTGCAGTTGTGCAACGAGCTGCAAATGTAATGGCAGCCGTACCTGGAGGTAGAGCTGGATGCTCTGCGCTTTTGTGTTACGTCCGGGATCTTTTGCGGAAGTATGGAAGCCTTGCCAATGTACAAGCTTGGGAGAAAAGTTGGAAAGCTTCTTGTGACCAACGCCTTCGGGCTGAACTCGAAGCTTTGAAAGGTGACACTGAAGGTGGATTTGGGCTGGTCAGCAGTATGGGTGATGATAGAGATGATCCTGTTCCGCCTCGTCTGACAGGGCGTCTTGTACGATATGGAAATGCAATGAAGGAGATTATTCAGCGAAGTGCCGATGCCATAACACAGATTATCATCAATAAAGAACGGGATGTGGGAGGGGAACCCGTGGAAGACGTGCTTCGTCATGGTCACACGCTTTTAGTGGGTGTGATGAATATTATAAAACAGAACAGTGGTGGCGTTTCTCAAAATGATGTTGCGCTTTTGGCCAATGCGGTATCCACCATTGTCAACCATGCAGGTCAAAGTGTGGCCAATGTTTTGGAAAACTTGGGCTATAACGCCCCTGGAGAAACTACTGCAACTGCATTGTCTGCTTTACAGTATGTCATCTAAAACTTTCCGACTTCTTGCAACATCAAGATGGGTTTGAGTGAAGTCTTAGTACCGTATTCTTTTTGTTCAATTATTTGAGTATTCACTTAGATCCAGTGGCAATGTATGCACGTGGACCATTGACTGTGTTCCGCAAACTCTTGATTGGTCTTTGTAAAGAAAATGTAAACTAACAGTTGGTACACTACGTATGTAGGGCTGGGCGCCGAACATTGCAGTTTTATGTTTATTGCCTGCATTTATTGAAGGGTGCTGTTGATGACCGCACATTCCGTATGCTTGAAGTGGCCATAGCGAATGAAGCAAATACAATTGTGCAGGCTGGAGTAGGCCATTTTCCAGGAAGAGCACCTCGGTCTCAATTTCATTTGTCGCCTGAAACTCCAGACACCAACTCGACCTTAGCAAGTGATCCCGGAGGCACCCTTGGGCGGCCTACCATGGCAGCTTCAGCAGTTCTTGCATTAGTTACAGGTCTGGTGGTCAACGGGGTAACTACCCTTGAGCGCATGGTGTCTGTATTGCGTGTGAAGGATGGTTTAGAGAATATGTATCTTCAGAAGTCTGGAAGTTTGAACTCAAACGGCAAAGTGAGTAGTATGGGGGGTAACGCAAAGACCGAGAGTGTGCCAGAAGCACATATTCATTGGTTTCGTGTACTAATTGGAGATTGTCGAACTGTACTAGAAGGACTAGTTGCAGATTTACTCGGTGAACCAGCAGTGTTGGGTTTGGCACGTTTGCAAAGATCTCTGGCTCTCGTGACTGTTTTTCCTCCTGCATATGCTATCTTTTCAGTTGCCTTGAGGAGGCAGCAAACTATTTTTGTGAACAACATGAGCCGTGAGGAGGCTATAATTCAGGCAGTTACAGTTGCAGGCAATGATGTGGTCGCTCACGAACCATTTCGTGACGTATGTTTACGGGATACTACCTCACTCTACCGCTGTCTTTCGGGCGACTCAGGAGACTCGAAGTATGCAGCCATGCTTGACGTGCAGGGTTTTGAGTTATATAAGAAAGTTTCAGCAATGGTACCGCTACGTGCCCGTCTCTTCTTGCATGCTCTGTTGGACCGGAAAATGCCAGAGGACGACACGCGGAGTCAAAATCGGTCTCATACGTCAAACGGACCCGGACAAATTGAACAAGTTGTTCAGGTATAAATTCATGTGTTCTTCACGTTCTTTTATAGGTTACTTCGCTTCTTGTTGAGTGCATATCGAGTACCTTGTTTTATATTTTAGGTTTCTGCGCCACATGGTGGATATTAAATCCTTCATGTGGGTGATGTCCATGGAATTCTGCGAGGTCTCTCTAGGATTCAGTCTATGAAGGCAGCGTTATTTTTTTAATTTCAAAAAAAACTCCTGAAATATCCCGAAGGGTTTAGGGTTTAGGGTTTAGGTTTAAACTTCTTGTGTGTTTAACACCATCTTCTGGATTGATTGCTGCATTTTTTTATTTTTTTATTTTTTTTAATTCTGAAAGCCAATAATACGGGTTTTTGTTAATGATTCAGGTTCTGGATGAACTTCAGGCTGCCACATTTCATTGGCAGTGGATAGAGCTGCGTCTACTTTTGAATGAGCAAGTAATTCTTGAAAAGCTGAAGATTCATCCACAGAATGCCCGAGAAGCTGTCCTGGCAGCTATGCAAGGTCCAGAGCGTCAGCAGTTGGATGAGTGTGAAAAAACTTTTACAGAGATCTTGCTCACACGGCTGTTAGTCAGACCTGATGCCGCTGCTCTTTACTCCGAAGTGGTGCATTTGCTTGGCAAAGCTTTAGAAGACTACCTCATATTGCATGTGAGTTATTTGAGACTCATATACTCCACTGGTATCAGGCTGGACTCTGCTTTATACTGTTATCAGTCCTGGGAGAAGTTGTATTAACGTGGGATTATATTGTGGGACTTCAATTCAAAGATTCTACTGCGATTATTGTGTTAATACTTGATGTTTCAGTATTTGTGATGAGGAAGCACTCAGGTTTTGGGATGATTGTTTGAATAGAGTTTTTGCATTTTTGAAAATTTCTTCAGAGAATGTTTTTAATACTTGTCTTTGAAGTATAGAAGAATGCTTACTAAGGTAGCGGATCATCTGCATAATGGCAGTTATTTGGTTACGCATTTTTGGTAGCAGTTTTTTCTCTTCTAAGAAGTCTCTCTGCTATCACTGCTATGAATTATCTCCAGGTGAAGTGGGTGCTGGAAAATAATGACATGTTGCTGGGTCGCAAGTCTCTTCGTCAGCTTCTTGATAACATTGCAGCAAAGAGTGTGCCTGTTAGGGCAAGGCAGGTAAGAGCATTGAACTGGCAGCCTCCCAGACCACTCCACAGAGATTCGGAAGAGGCTGCTGAAAAGAAACAGTGGTCTCTGCAAGGGGGTGCAGCCTCACCTGAAGAAGGTGAACTTGAAGACGAACGGATGGATTGGCAGAAATCTGATGAGAAGCCATCTCGACAGAGCTCTGGAACATTGTCTGGTCTAACATGCAAGCCTTTTGCAACTGAGAAGGCCTTGGCGGATTTGGTCCTTCCTTGTCTGGCTCGAAGTTCTATGGATAACCGCAATGGTTTTGCCCATGAACTGGTAAAAGAGATGAATAACCTTGAGCAGCACATAAGTAATCTCACTCGAAATAGTGGTCGAACAATAGCATCTACTTCTCCAGGAGGTGATGGTATTCTCGGCTCTAAAGGCTCCAGCGTCCGGAGAGGTGGTCGCAGTGGGATGGATGTTGGCAGTCCAGGTCTTGGTCGTAGATTCACTGGTCCCGTTCCTGAAGCTGTTCCTGTGTCACCGGCAGCTTTGCAAACATCTGTATGGTTGCGGCTGCAATTTCTGCTTCCACTTCTTCCTATAATCCTCGCTGAAAGGTAAACTTGAGAGCTTTAACCTTTGATGTCCATCAACCACTTTCTGGTCGTTTTCATCTAGTTTTTAATTTCAGCTACAGTCGAGCACGACTAGAACCATTTCTTGTGAAGAACTTACTTTCCAGTCGATTTTAAAATCCTAAAAATTGTTGAAATTGCTTTTTGAGTGGAACCTTGATGTTCAAAACCCAAAATTCCCACGTGCATTGTGAACCAGGTATTTGCTACCTCAGTACAATGCTTACTAAGGTAGCTTTATGCCGATTTCTTTTGTTGTAGGTTCAAAATCGATGAGAAACAAACCACAATTATTTTCACTCTTTCATTTAAGCTTCGTACTTTTTTATGATTTTGTAATTAGTGCATTTTTTACTCGAAAAATCTTTCAACGAATCATAAAACCTTCAGATTTGAGCTTTATCTCAGGTCGGATAGAGGCCACAATCTTTGTGTAATCGACACATAATGTGAACAATTGACGAGGCCTGACTGAGTTACTGATGCGTGGGCGTCAATGAGGGTTGGTTTACTGACATTGGCGTTTCACATTTTAAAGAGGTTTTAAGTTGCTGTTGATTAACTTCCTGTTGTGGGTTTTTCAATTGTGTTCGTGGCATGCACTTTTGACGTGAGGTCTATTTTGAAAAGTAATGACTTAATATGACGTCGTTTGCTCATACTTACAGAGAACAGCAGTCAGTGCCAAATAAGCGTCAAACTCTTGCACCGGTACTACTCCGCTTGCTTGGGACAAGGATTGTACAAGAGGAGACTGATCCATTATGCTGCTGGGATCCTTCATCTTCAAATGACTTCGAAAGAAACTCTCAAGCAACGTCTGCTGCTGCGGCTGCTTCTGCTGGTGAACCTTTATTCGATAGACTTCTGAGCATTTTGCACGCACTTCTGAGCAATACCTGGGCCGTGTGGCTCAAACCCCGCAAAGGTTCTGTTAAGCCCTTACGAGATATACCACCTTTCGATAAGGAGGCGGCCGAACGCATGCAGGTGTTTCGATTTGACATTTTACTCTCAAAGAGCATAATTTTACAATTGCCAGTTTATTTCAGAGAAACAGTTAATGCATACTCGACGAGGATTATTTCAGACATTTGTTTTGACTGTTTATGTTTTACTAACAGTTAGCGTGGTTGGCAGGTGGATCTGGAGCACATGCAGTTACCTTGTGGCATTCGCGCCCGACTTCAGGCGGCCTTTCCCCTTCTTCCACCCACTCCTGTAACTACAGTTTCAGCAGCCCCTCCTCAAGTGCCTGTTTCAGTTTTATCTCAACTGCAGGTCAAAGGATTTAACAGCACTCTGGGGGTATCCACAACTTATCCAGGGTCAGCTCAGAAGAGTCTGTACCCTCTTGAAAACAATGCCGGTAAATTGAAAGCAGTGACTTCAGCAGATTCCGAGATGGAGGTTGATCCCTGGACACTGCTTGAAGATGGTGTGGGGGCTTCAAGTGGTCCAATTGGAAGTGGAGAGGTTGGAAATTTGAAAGCATGCGCTTGGTTGAAGGGAGCTGTTAGGGTCAGGCGAACTGATCTCTCATACATTGGAGCTGTTGATGAAGAGCCTTGATTGAGCTTACCTGGCGGAAGGCCTATGCATTTAAAATAATTGGAACGGTCTCTTACAGAATGTAGGATCTGTTCCATTCCATTTGTATCATATCTCTCATGTACACCAGTCTGAGAACAATTCAACCAGGGCATCTAAATCCGTGTATCATCTGTTGGTTGAAGGATGGAGCAATATTGCTCCTGTTGCATGGGTTCTCTCAAGTTACTAGTATACATAATGAGTTGGTGCAGCACGGCCTCAGTTATATGAGCAAATGTCTTCACGCAGGTATGCTCCTCACGAAATGCCTAAGTAGCATTCGAGTCCTGTTTGGGTCAGTGAATCTTTTGGTTCGAATTTGTTTTGCAAAAGCATAAAATTAGATTCATTATTTTGTGATGGTGTTAATTTTATTTATGAGATTCAAGGCATTTAGACTGTCATAGCCACGATGTGGTTTCTCTTCTGTGGCGATGACTGTTGAGTTTGGATTCTGTGCAGACCTATGGATGACCATGGTTCGATCGTTACAGGAGCGGCTGCTTGGTGATGAAAATAGATTCTACAAACTACAAATCCGCTTTCAACCGGTTTAGTATTCCATGCATGTCTGTCCTTGTCGTAGGCTGTGTGATATTACTGTAACATGAGCGTCCCTACTTGGTCTGATGCATGTGATGACTCATCATGCATGTGGATCAATGAATCATCATTTTCAGTCATCATTACGACTTATCACATGAAAGTTTGTTGGTTTGTCTGTTACTTGACAAAGTCATTTTAAGCGAGATTCCCTTGCGTGTCAACTTTCACTTGTGTTTGTTCGACAGATTGTGTCCCCCTTCAATTCTGAGGCTTGCTTTTAAACTCTTGTGAATGAATAATTTCGTATCATCTTAGTATCTGATAGCAACTCCGTTGGCCCAACACTGTGAGGCTTTCAGGAGAACGGAAGCAGCAGCGGTCTTGATCCCGCAAACTGTCCTGCTTGGTTGCTGACACTGAATTTAGGTCCACACGAATTCAAGCGATTTGTTTATCCTCAGAGATTTAGAATCGAATGCGTCTTAAATTATTAGATGATAAAATATTTTATGTTTTTTTTGAAAAAAAACTAGTTTTACGTATTAAGAACTAAAATTTCAAATGATGATTGGAATTGGTTTCATTTGTTAATTTTTTATTGTTCTGAACAGAAAGAAATTTTAAAATATTTTTTAATGCATCAAAATTCAGCATTATAAAATTGTGTTTACTAATTTGCATATAAGTATTTCTTTCTAAAAATATATGTTTAAAGATTATTGTAAGCTTTTATATATGTGTATGCATGTATGTGCTATATTTTATTTTTGAAACAAGTACTTCCTTTTATGTGTTCTATTACTTTTGTAATGTGATAGTACATATGCTTTACAATTGCTTTATGATGTTTACAAACCATCAAATATAATAATTCTTGTTCTTAAATTTTTTTTCCTTTTTTTTTTTTTTTTTTTTTTTTTTTCTTTTTCCATCAACTACTTTGTTGTTGCAAAGAATAAAAAACTTGCTTTTGTGAAAATATTAACTTTATATATATATATATATACATATATATACACACTTGTTTTAGCTTAAATTTTTAAAAATTGATTACCAATTAAAAGCTTTTATAGTTATTAAAAAAATAATGTAATCTTTACAATCTACATTGTAATACCTTAGTCTTTTTATACTCATTATTCAAGTGTTTAATTTTTCTTATTCTTTTTGTTGCTATTTATATCTACATCTTTTCTGAAAAAGGAATTTCAACCATAAAAATTAATACGATGCTGATAAAATTGTAAGTTGAATAAAATTTTAAAAGCATATGCAATGATTTTTTGAAGTTAAGAAAATTGAGAAAAATGTTGCTGTCATACCAAAACATTTTTTATTCAATATCTCATTGCTTTATAACCCTTTTTTTATTTTTTATTTTTAATATTTTTCTCTCCTTTTCATATATAATTTAATTTAACAATTTTTTTTTTTTTGAAATGTTATGAGTTTTATACTTTACTTTACTTGATATATTGTAATTTTCTACATGTGTCTATATTTGTATGGTGTGCATGTATACACAAACTTTTACAAACGTGGCAAATAAATTGTGATTAGAATAGTCATCATATTACATTTCACAATCATTAAAATTTCTTGGACTGCTACAAAACTAGGGTCCACTCAAATTTGAATTAGAACCACAATGTTTCCCATCTTGGGTACTTTGGATAGAAGTTGTCGAAAGTCTTGTTGATGGGTCTACTTTTGATTTTGTAAATCAAATGATTTGAGATTTATGTTTGGTTTGGTGATATGGCATTTTGGTTAATTCCTGACCAACTACCGCTATCAAGAATTTCTTCAACCTTATCTGTAGAAGTGACTTCAAATTTTAGTTTACCAACCAAAAATATTGATAAAGTCCTCAGTCAATTATATCTTTTTTCTTACAATTGTACATTTTCTTCCATATATTTAAAACTTGACACTTTATATTTATTTTTATTTGATTTATTTCGATAAAAACAAAAAAAAAAATCATTTGCAAAATCACTTAGTCAACATTGGATATTGATAGCAATTCAAAACGTGTATTACTTTTTAGTGTACTTCTCAAATGATCAACACAAGGAAACAAAACAAATAAAAATAAAAATAAAAAATCCCAAAATATTACTTCTAAATAAAAAAATAAAAAAATAAAAAATTCCACAAACAAATAAAGGGCCTCACCTTTCCAATTCACAACGTCCTTTCTAACACCACCGCTTTCCACCCCCAACTGAAAAAAAACACCAAGAAAAGAAGATTGTAATAGTAAAAACAAAGTGGGATATGTGGGGAATGAAACCTGCTGTGGAGGGATCGAATCAGTTCACTCAACAACGTTGCAGTTGTTGACCTAATACAACAGCAAAGCAGCATCATCATCAGCACACAACCTCACGCTAACTCATTCACACACCAACCACAATAATAAAAACTCATTCCTTCATTCTTTCATGCTTTCGTTCACTCATTCGGCAGTTGTGTGGGAATTGGGTTGAGTGGGAGCAACTCCCAAGACGAAAAAGCGGCGCTCACCGACACCCTTCACATCGTCTAGCAAAACTATGCAAGCAAGCAAGCAATGCTCGACTGCTACCATCACCTGCACCATGCGCACACACACACACACAGCTTGGAAAACCACACACACATAAGTTCTACTCATCTGTGAACTGGAATGTTCAATCATTCAGCACTGATTGTCGTCATTAGCAAACTGTTCTAATTTTTTATGAACTTTTGATTTTTGATGATTTTTCTCCCGAAATCTGGTAGCGGCATGAGGATAGTGGGCTATGAGGACGGGGTGCTCTGCGGCGTTGTGAGTGAATGCAGCCTCCACGCCACAGCAAGGAATTACCTGCCACTGGTGGGGTGCAATCAACGAAGGTGGCAAAAACAAAAAGAGGAAAAGAGCAAAAAAAAAAAAAAAAAAAAAAAAAAAAAAAAACAAAAAGTAAGGAAAGAAGAAATGTGGGGCCAATTGTAGCTGGATTTCCGTTGCGTCTCCTTTCAACCAACACAAGGTTCATCAGAATATAGTTTGTATGCATGCTTGAGCAATAAAATGGAGTTTTCTAAGTGCCGCGACGTATTCGCAGTTTCCATTTGGAAACTGGGTGCGTTGCACACTCGGCCACTTTGGTGCACTTTTCAACCTGGCTCATCTGCCTTTGACCGCACGACCGCAGCGCAGCGATGAGAATCTTGTTGGCCAGCAGTTTGGCGGACTCAGTGGCTCACCGCGAAAATTCTAATTCTGCTTCTAATTCTGCTTACTCATCCTCACCTTTTTTTTCTTTTTCTGTTTTTACGAAGGAATTAAAAACTACTGCAGCAGTCCTTAGAGCTTTGTTTTGGGACACCCAAAGGCTGAATCCACGCTGTATGTTACCGTGGTCGACTCGTCACTGGACCGGGTCGTCAAGGTTCAAATTCTACCCCGAATCCTTCATTTGATTGCATCGCGTGATCCCGCTGGGCTCTTACACATCGAGAAGGCGCTACCACGCCCCGATTGGCTTGTATCTTCTCAAAATTTGAGCCCCGTCTGAGTATTTGCATGTTGGGGGGTTCGTGCGAAGTGGATGAGAGGGGATTTTTCTACTCGCAGAGTAGTAATTGAAATCTTGCGATGGGGATGTCGGTATTGAGCATCTACTCGTATCCGTAATGCGAGTCGATTGAGCTCAAGTCGCGGATTCGAACGAGGTATAATTCTAAACTGCAGGGACTGCTGAAACAATCACTGCGTGCTCCACGTGAAATCGGCGCTCTGCCTTCCGTATCTCTGTCAGTGCAACGCGGAGAGAATCACAGAATTTGCAATTACGAGTGCTGTATAGGTGCTGTAGAAATTGCTTCAACATCCAAGATGTGTTTGAGAGGTTTCGTAATTTTCCCGCTGCTGGCGGTGCTATACTTGGCTCTCGCATCCCCGATTCTCGCCTTCAAAAAGGCAGATTCAATCCGCAGAGCCACCTTGGGAACGGATTCATGGAAGGCAGCTCAGGAAGCCGATCGGATCGATGCACTGCCGGGGCAACCGCCAGTGGAATTTGCCATGTACGCAGGGTATATCACAGTGAATGAGCAAGCTGGCAGGGCGCACTACTATTTCTTCGTAGAGGCTGCCGAAGAGCCAGAGAATAAGCCTCTCGTCATCTGGCACAACGGAGGTATGTATGCCAGTCCATCATGTCAATCCTCACTTTTACAATTCTCTCGCAGGCTTCTGGATCTAACCCATGAACGTGTGCTAGATTTTATTCGCTGTCTGCCGATCATTGAATGGTTGTCGCGATGCTGCAGGCCCAGGGTGCTCTTCAATTGCATATGGATTTGGAGAGGAGCTCGGTCCATTCTTCATCAACGAGGGAGGTGAAACACTCCGGCTCAATCCCAATGCTGGAAACAAAGTTGCCAACATAGTCTTCGTCGAATCTCCCGCTGGGGTGGGCTTCTCCTACACCAACACCAGCAACGATCTCTACACATCTGGCGATAATCGCACAGGTACTGAAATCCCGAAAAGTGTTTGAACAAGTCAGACTGACCAACTTTTAGCCCATGCTTACTAATTTCGAAACCAACAGGCTCCAATTAATGCGATATATATATATATATTATGTTCTTTACGGGTCGCAATCATGCGCGAGGAAACTGAGCTGTGGATATCTAAATCTAGTTTTCTCGGCTTGTTCAGCATATGATAACTATGCTTTCGTGACGAACTGGATGAAGCGATTCCCCCAGTACAAAGGACGCGACTTCTATCTCTCGGGGGAAAGCTATGCTGGTACGCAGCTTCTGTTCCTCCTCAAGTCGTTTGACTGCCGCAAAAAAACACCTACTGCGTGTCAGGAAAATGTTGACCACATCCTAATGAAGTGATTTGTGAGAGCAGGGTATTATGTCCCCGAGCTCTCCAAGCTAATCTACGAGAACAACAAAAACCTCCCTGATGCTGACAAGATCAATTTCAAGGGCTTTATGGTGGGCAATCCTGTGATCGACACCTACAGCGACAACTGGGGGTACATCGACTTCCTCTACTACCACGCCATGATCAGCGACCAACTCTACGCCAAGATCAAGGTCGTGTGCAACTTCCAACGCAAGAATGCCACTCTCTCCGACGCGTGCGTGAAGCTTTTGTACTACAATGCCGACGAAGAGCAAGGCGAGATCGACCCTTACTCGGTGTACGCACCGGCGTGCACCTCCAACACGACCTTCGGTGGGAATTTCACCGGCCATCACCCTCTTCACACTCCTCACAAGAAGCTGTTCAATCCGGTTCTGGGCCACTTCCGTAGGGAGGAATACGACCCTTGCACGTATGATTACTCGTTGATCTACTTCAACAGGCCGGACGTGCAGAAGGCGATGCACGCGAATACGACGGGAATTCCATATCCATGGGTTGGCTGCAGTGATCCCTTGTTTCTTAACTGGAAGGACTCGGCGACCACTGTGCTGCCCATCTACCAGGAGCTTCTCGAAGCTGGCTTGCAGTTATGGGTGTTCAGGTGCTTTTGCTCAACTTCCCTGCATCTAGATCTCTCTCCGTGTGCCGAAACCACGTCCCCCTTGAGATTTTGTGTTCTATGTTGTGCATTCACTGAAGAGGAACTGAAAATAACCTGTGGGTCTTGTGTGCATCATTAGTGGGGACGCCGATAGCGTTGTTCCGGTGACCGGCACCAGATACGCCTTGAGCTCCTTGAATCTGCCCGTAGTCGTTCCATGGTACTCTTGGTACCACAACCTGCAGGTAATTGGGATTCATCTACCCCTAAACACGACTCTCGAGTTTTTGAACCTCCTCTTTGGAATTCTCCACTAATTGTGCAAGACTTCCATGGTTGTATTCGCAGGTAGGAGGTCGAGTGATCGTATACGAAGGAAACCTGACACTGGTGACAGTTCGCGGAGCCGGACATGAAGTGCCGTTGCTGAGACCCGAAGAGTTCCTGCAAGTATTCAGCGCTTTTCTAAACCAATCACTCTTGCCAAGGACACCATACCCATAAACCTGCAACCCACCGCAGCCCATGTGGTGGCCACAGTGGAACCAAAACGCATTATTTCTAACAGCTTAACTCTCACCTAGATCATCCCAAAGTCTTCACGTTGTGGAAGAAAACAAAGGGGGACGTCCTCTCGTAGAACTCCCTCTCTCACCACCACAATCTGCGTGGGGCTGTTTTGTGTTCTCCGCAACGGCATCGATATTCGGTGCCATTGCCACGGTCGTGATCTACGAGGTGACCACTACAAGGGACCAAAAACTCGCCCCTGCTAATTCAACGCAAACAAATGCTAATTCCAACCTCATCCGCATGCGCACCTGAACGAAGATCTGCGGCAAAACGCAAGAGCAGAAGTTCTGGTCCAGATCTCCAATGACGTTTTTTTTTGTTTTTTTGAGGTTTTTCTGTGTTTTTCGATGCTTTTGTTTCTCCATTGAAGAGTATCAAACTTGGTGGTGGTGGTGAATGTGGTCCCTTCGTAGGTCTTGGTCATGCCCTGAATCGGTAGCATCTACAGTTATTTTTATTACTGTAGATCCACCATTTTTGGTGGCATGGTAAAAGTGTTGGATTGAACACGGTTTTGTGGCCTTGTTCTATGCTCTTGTGTAAAGCCGAGTAATGTCTATCAAGGGAAGAACTTGTATCTCATCATGTAATAAGATATCCTTTGCAAAATCTAAATGTGCAACTTGTATCTCATCATGTACTTTGTTTATAGTTATTGCAAATGCCAATTGAATTGGAAATTGACATTGTAAGAAGATAGTAAGGTATTTGTTTTCTTAAGAAGAAGTTGATATTTAAGGAATGTTGACTATTTTACTTGTATGTGCATCTCTAATAAACTTTGCAACAATTGATGTACATTTGAGATGGATAATAATCATGCATGTGCAATTGTACAAAGATTAGCGAACACATTTATATTTTGCAAAAGATATCTTAGACATTGTATTTTAGTGCCAACTTATGAGACAACATACTTGGCAGTGTAAGTATATTAGGAATTCTAATCTATAAGTCATTGTTTTATTGTCTTATATTAGAATTGTATTTGTTGATAGTAAGCTATGTTTTTAAGTTCAGGTTTAGAATGCAATGAATTTATTAATGTTATTTAAAAGAATATTTGTTGTAGTTGATATACTTCTATTATCTACATAGATGGCTTTATAAAAATACATGTGTAAATTAAAGAAGATGTTAATAAGGACTTTAAGGAATTTACAAACTATAATTCTTTAAAAGAAACCAATCTTAGTATTAGCCATACGAACATCATCTTGAACATTACTTCTTTTTTGGCTGAATGATGATTTCAATCTATTGCCAATGCAAAATATATATTTTGAAAACAATCAAGATGGAAGAAATACTTTCTAATTCATACTTTTCAATAACCTAAATTTTTTAGTAATTGACAAGAAAAAATAAATAAAAAGAATCCATCAATAGAACTTTAATTGCTTAAAAAAAAAAAAAAAAAAAAAAAAAAAATTATAAAAATCACCACGCAATACTATGACCTTACTTCTAAAGAATGTATCCTATATTTGCATCAACTTCCATAAATTGTATCAATGTTATACTAGCACTATATTCTAAAGAATAAGCTTTGATATACAAATAATTTTAATCCATTCAATCCATTCAAAAAATAACTTGTTTAATTTGCAAAAGAATCCTAGAATTACTACATGTACACGATTTTGTATCTTTAAGTCTGATTTAGATCCAAATTAACAATTGGTCCTCTCTAAGTATCAATTTTTGTCTTCCTTTGTAATTTTTGCTAAAATACATTCTTAACTTTTCCTTACATATGCCTATATTCTTTATTTTTCTAATCTACCTTGTTTTGCCTTATTTATGGTTTTTCAAAGTAAGTAGAAGTCCACTTTGCAAAATGGTTTTGCAAAGTGCAAATATTAGCACTTTTTATTTATTATCCTTTGACTATTATTTATATTTATAAGATAATTTTCTATAATATTTTGAAATAAGATCTTCTAAAATATAATATTTTCTTCACTCTTTCATATATTAGTCATATTACATTTTTGACAATGTTAGATATTTAAAAAAAATAAGTATCATATATACTTGATGGATAAAAAAAAATGTGCTTTCACAAGTACTATAAAGAATCATTAAAATTCTTATCATATTCTAATATAGAAAGGAATGAATTCAATATCATGCATCTCTATTCCTAGATTATATAATTATATAATATTTAAATCATAATTTCTATAAAAAAATAAAAAAATAGTTCCAAATCAATCAATAGAAAAATCCTATAGTAATATTTAAAGTTGTTATCATATCTATCCAAAAAAAAACTCCTAAAATTTGGAATATATAGATATGATGTGAAGGTTTAATATTGAAATATATATTATAAAATCCACATTATAATATAATAATATAAATATTAGATAAAAAAAGATTTTTTTTTTTTATTATAGTAGAATCTAATTAAAAATATATAATAAAAAACATAGATAAATGATAGGTAGATAGTAAAATTTATTAGTATTATAACTATTTTTTATAAAAATAGATTTTAATTACTTTATAGAGCCATAAATAAGATAAAATAAGGTAGATTAAAAAATAAAGAATATAAGTATATGTAAGAAGAAGTCAAGAGTTGATTAAAATAAAAATTACCTCAAATTACTAAAAATTGATATCCAGAGAAGATTGGTTATCAACCTAGATCAAAATTAGACCTTAAGGCATAAAACCATGATTCTGTGACAATTTTTGGATTCTTTTGCAAATCAAAGATTGGAATTTGAGAGAAGACTTTGTAAGGTTTTTTTGAACATTGGTTTTGGGAAATTTAATTTTGTAATTACTTTGTAAAAGCTTTCTAAAGTCAAAATTGTTTTTGAAAAATCTTGTTTTATAAAATTAATAAAGGATTTAAATTTGGAAATTTTTTGTAAGTTTGATAGTGGATCTACAAGTAAAAATTTGTAAGTTTGTGATAATAGATGTTTTTATTGCATGCTAAAAATTTAAGCATGATCAAATAATTAGATTGAAGATTATTGAAGTTCAAATAGATTAGGGTCTCAAAAATAGGATTTTGAAGGTTAGTGAGAATTTTTGAGATTTTTAGCAATTTACTTATTAGGCTGAGGTAAAATTTGTATATGTAGGTAGTAGACTTGATTTCCAACCTATATATAATTTTTAAAAGATATTTAATGATATAATTAATAGATTTTGGCATATGAAGATTAATATCAAGATTAAACAAGGAAGTCGGCCAATACCCAAGCAATGTCGAGATACATTTAATTTAAGTGCATCCAAGTTCTTTAGAAGGTAATTAATTTTATTGGTAGGAGAGAGGGAATATAATGCTAATATATTTGCAAATTTGAATGGCATTTAGAATAAGAAATTCTTAGCTTGAATAGATTATTTGAACTTCAAGGTATTATCTTTTAGAATAGATATCCAATCATATAGTGATTCAAGGTGGATATTGGAAGAAGGTTAGGACAAAGGTTTTGGAATCAAGTGGAGATTTTTTTTTTTTTTTTTTTTTTTTTGCTGGAATTTTTGAGAAGAGAGATTCAACACTAGTTCGGATTTTTCTATGCCACTTCTTACATTTTTATCTTTTTGTATTGATATTTAGAGAGAAGCTAGATCTACTTGTGAGCTTTCTAACAAGCCATAGGATACAAGAAATGGAGCTATGAGGAGGGAGATCCAAGTAAGTTTGTGGAAAGGAGATTGCTAGAGTTTTTGAGAGAAGAGATTCAATACTAATTTAGGTTTTTTTATGCCACTTCTTACATTTTTATTTTTTTGTATTTATATTTAGAAATAATCTAGATTTAATTGTGAGCTTTCTAAGAAGCTATAATATGCAAGAAATGGAGCTATGATGTTGGAAATCCAAGAAAATTTATATGAAGGGATTGCTAGAGTTTTTAGGCAGCAAATTTCAAGACTGGTTTGGGATTTTTTATACAATTCATTGGATTTTTTTTTTTTTTTTTTTTTTTTTTTTATTATTCTCAATGAGATAAAATTTGTCTAAATTGAATTAGTAAAAGTGAGTTATAGATATTTTAGTAAAAAGGGGTATGGATTTGAAATTAGAATTAGGAGTTCAGTGCATCCTAATACAAGAAAGAAATTAATCTATAAATTTTACCTAGCCTTTGGACTGACCTTTATATTTTATTTCATTTGAAAAAACTTTGTTCTTTCTTGTAATCTACTTGTGATCAAAGACCTCATGTTTTTCTTTGATCACAAGTAGATTGTCTTCTTGATCATAAGAGGATTGCCTTCTTGATCACAAGAGGATTGCCTTCTTGATCACAAGAGGCTTGCCTTCTTGATAGAAATTTAATGCTTCTATTAAAAGTATTTTCAAGATAATTATGGAGCTAAAGTACAAGCTTAGAGCATGAGAATGAATTCAAGAATTAAAAGGGAGAAAGTGAGAGATTTTTTATATTTGAAGATGATGGATGATTTTGGAGGGGTTGGTGCAAGTAGCATTGGAAGAACAAATGCCAATGATTTGTTCTTGGCTTTGAACATGTTCATAAAAAGACAGAAAAAGATACAATTAAATAAAAAGGGGGTGACAAAGGCATTGCAAAGCATAGTCAAGAAGCATAGGAGGTTCAATGGGAAGAAGATAACTAAGTTTCTTTGAGCATATGTCAAAAAAATGGATGTACATTAAGTTCCAAAGTCTTATTATATCCTTAGTTTTAAATTGGCATGCATTCTTGAAATTAAAAAGAAAGTAAAGAATTTGTATAAAGATAATTTAGAGGCATGGAGTGACTTTAAAGAGAGGTTAAGAGATAATTTTTTTGATGAGGATTTTGATAGAATCATAAAGATTTTATGGAATTCTTGGAAAAGTTCTTGTCAATGTACTTCTTGAGTTTAGCCAACTCATTTTGTGATAAACTACAGATTGAACCAAATAATGGCTAATTTCTTTCTTTAAGGTCAATTGAACAATCATATGGATGATGCTCCAAGAGAATATCTGCATTCTTCTTCTTAAAAATATCTTAAAAATATTGACATCAATTTAAAATACCACTTAAAGTCCTTCCATAATTAAAAAATGGATATAGCATAAATAATAAAAGGCGATCTTTCTTTTTCTGCATACAAGAAAGCTTTTGCACCTATGAGTATGGATTTGGCTATACTAGACTCATTACTTTTTATAAAACTCTTAATAGTGCTATGGAAAAAATTAAGTTTACAAAAAATCCAATCTATCAGAGGATTATACTTTTCTAACCATGATAAATCTAAAATGATCGGATTAGAAGGAGATCTAATTATATTAAAAATTATGCAACTATTATGACCATTTATTGCTACATATATAGAAATTTTTTTATAAGTAATATCTTCAAAAGATAACAGATGGCCATTTATGACTTCTACATATACAGGTTTAGTTTTTTGTAGTAATGATATTCTATGGCTTTTAATAAATTCTTCATCTAAGAAATAAGTTAAGACTTTTGAATCTATTAATATAAAGGCTTTGTGATTATTAGGTCCTAAATGCAAATCTATTGTAAAATAAAGAGAGAGTTTTGAAAAGAAGATAGGACCTTCATTTGTACAAGATTCTATTTGTATGGTCCCTATTGTAGTTGAAAAAAAAT